AATAATTGTGAAGGTTTATCTTCAGGCACAGGCAGCCCAAARTGAGGTAAGGTTTAAACCCAAGGAGTGGGAGTATTTTGAGAATTCTGTCCATCCAGGCTCCAACATAAAGGTGTCAAGTCTTTTGATAGTGCAGCCTGGGCTAAGTGGGACTCCAGTAACAAATAATGCTATGTGCAGAAGCACAGGCTGGGGACAAGGCTTTTTCTATTCAACTTCATTCCAGACTCTGRCTAGAGGATGGTGGTGGTGGCATCTTACAGTCCTGGGGTGACATCTGGGTAGGCACTTCAAAGGTGCTAGTGGAACACAGCTTCCAGTGTAAAATTCAAGTGGTTCCCAAAACTTAGTGATCACAATGAACAATATCTTAATGTGATACTTTTAAAACTCATGATTAAGTCAAGAACCCACAATGAAACTAAACTAAACGTAATCTTCCCATATGATCCAGCAATTGTGCTCCTTGGAATTCACTCGAAGAAGTTGAAAAGTTCTGTCTACACAAAAACCTCCACACGGATGTTTTTAGCAGCTTTGTTCATAACTGCCAAAACCTGGAAGCAACCAAGATGTCCCTCRGTAGATGAATGGATAAACTGTGACACATCTAGATGCTGGAAAATTATTCAGTGCTAAAAAGAAATGATCAAGCCAYGAAAAGACATGGAGGAAACGTAAATGAACATTACTAAGTAGAAGAAATCAACTTGCAGTTTACATTCTGTCTGATTCCTGTATGACATTCTGGAAAAGGCAAAACTATAAAGGTAGCAAAAAGCTCAGAGGATGCTAGGAATTAGGGGGAGGGAGATAAATAGGTAGAAGACAGAGGATGTTTAGGRCGGTGAAAATAGTCTGTATGAACATGGCATCATAATTTGTGCAAACTCATACAAAGTACAAAACCAAGAGTGAACCTTAAGAAAATCTATGGGATGTGCAGATGTAGTTTCACCAACWGACCCCAATGCACCCACTCTGGTGGAGTGCACTGGTAGCAAGGGAAGCTGTGTGTGTGTGGGGCAGGGGTATATGGGAATGCTCTGTGCTTTCCTATCAGTTTTGCTCTTAACCTAAAACTGCTCTGAAATAATAAAGTCTTTAAGAAAAAAAAAAATATGCCCAGTACGGCAGTGCATGCCTCTAACCCCAACGAGTCAGGAGACGGAAGCAGGAGGATCGCAGGTTCAAAGACAGCCTCAGCAACTTACAGAGGTTCTAAGAAACTTAGTGAGAACCTGTTGCAAAATTTTAATAAATAAATAAATAAATAGCCGGGGATGTGACTCAGTGGTTAAGCACTTCTGGGTTTAATCTCTGGTTTAAAAAAAAAAAAAAACCTACAATGAACAAACCATCAAAACTTTCAAGAAATAAAGATAAACAGGACTTTGAAGGAGATCTTAAGGCTCTGTGGATTAAGATACATGTCAATGCACAGTTCTAAAAGACCAACTATGGGTTTCCAGGAGGTCTCAGCTCTAAGTGTCCAATCTGTAGTCTCTGAGGCCCCTTGGGGACACAGTTATGCCACCATCATGCTGTGGACACCATAACTGTGGCTAGGTTCCCCAGAAAGCGCCGCTCTTCCCAGGAGCCTGTGTTAAAGAAGGCCAACTACAAGGGGATTTACCTAAAGACGAGGCTGAGCAAGTCCCTAGCATCTAGACTCTTTGTGACTCACATTTTCCCCTTTATTTCCCATCCCTGTCAAACAAATTTACACCAGGTGGGCCAGGTGCATCTGGGAGGACATTTCCAAATTGGCCTAGAAGAGGTGGTCAAGGGCAATTCCAACCTTGCTGTCCAGGTGCCAGCCTCATTTTCTGAAACCATAGCCTTCCTCACTTTGGCAAACTTCTCCTTCTCTCCTGTCCTCTCTCCGTGTCTGTTTATTTCCATCCAAAAAWTAGGAAAAATCACAGGTCAAAAAGCCGCTCATGMAGATGGCAGAATAAATACTTYGGACACATTTTTCTTTAACCTGCTGTGGCAGCGTGTAGAGCAGCACTTTATGGCAAAGTGGCTGTAGAGTAAAACAGTGCTTTGCAGAAGTACAGCCWCCCCTGTGCACAAACGCCAACCACGCTCAGCAACTCCTTGGACAAGGCTGCCCCCAGCTCCTGCAGTCTCTCTGCCCTGAGGCTTGGTTCCTGAACTCTGCAAGTATCTACCTGCACAGCCAACTGTGGATGCTGCCAGGGGAAATTCCTGCCTTGGAAACAAAGGATCTATTATCCAACACTCAAGGTCCCCCAGGTATGGGGGAGGAAGSGGAATTGGCAGTTCTTTTTATCTTCATTTTCTTTTGCAAAGCAGAGGCTATCTCTACAGAGACCTGAACCTCACTCATTTCCTGCAAAGCACAAAGGAGAAATTCCACTCCCAGCCTGGCTCCYGCTCCAGGTGTGAGCAGGGTTGAGAAAGCACAAAGCTCCTCAATCCAGAGGAAATCTGCAGCCAGGTGGCAGTGGAAAAGCCGTGTCATCTTCATAACAGCATGTCCCTGTACCTTCATGTGTAAGGTGAGACTAACAGGAACAAGAGGTCTGTACTTCCTGCCCCTGCCATTTAAATAACTCCTCAGCACCACATACCAACAAAGACGTTGTGTCCGCCAAGAACTAAAAAATAAATAATAAAAATTCTCTCTCTCTCTCTCTCTCTCTCTCCCCCTCCTCTCTCACTCTCTCTTTTAAAAAATAAAATAAATAAATAAATAAATAAATAAATAAATAAATAAATAAATAACTGTGCCCTACTAACAAACAAACAGGCAGATTTTCCGTGGCCTTCCTCTCTCATTTGAAAAATAAGGACCCTGCATTACTAATCCAAGATCAAGTATACAAATTTAATATTAAATATTAATGATGAACTTTTGCATGAGCTGTATATTTAGGAAAATTGAAACAAGAAGGATTAGCATGGCTGACTCTTGCACAAAACAGGRAAATAAAAAATATTCCATGTTTTTAAGATAACCAGTGGCATATCTTACAAATAAACAGAAGAGAGGCACTCAAAGGGTCCAAGCACACAGTAATGATAAGGAGACGAAAACATTAATCGCCCTCATTGATCAATACATACTGTATATGTGATGAAGCATCAAACCACATCTCAAAAATATATACAATTATGTGATCATAAAAGTTTATTTTAAAAAAGGTTAAGTACACTGGGGCTGGGGCTCAGTGGTAGYKCACTTGCCTGGCATGTGTTCGGCACTGGGTTCGATTCTCAGCAYCACGTATAAATAAATAAAGGTCTATCAACAACGAAAAAAAAAAAAGTTTAAGAACCCAAGTGTGTTGGTGCACACCCGTAATACCAGTGACTCAGGAGGTTGAGGCAGAAGAATCACAAGTTCAAAACCAGCCTCAGCAACTMAGTGAGGTCCTAAGCAATTTWGTGACACCCGGTCTCAAAATTAAAAAAGAATATAAAGGGTTGGATATGTGGCTCAGTGGTTAAGCACCTCTGGGTTCAATCTCTGCTACAAAAGAAAAAAGAAAAAAAAAAGCTTAAGGTGAAGTAACCACCCTGCTTCGATCATTATATGATGTATACACATGTTGAATTACACTGTACTCTATAAGTTTGTCGAATTAAATTGATAACTAATGAAAAATTACCAGGTAAAAGTAAAAAATAAAAGAAAGAAAGAAAATATTGACAACCCAGAGGATAATAGTTTTTTGTTTTGTTTTTAGGACCAATTTGCTCTGGTTGGGGAAACAAAATCAAAGTAGCATTGTRTATCTATCTGCCCCTTTCTTCTCCCAGCATCATACTTGCTAGGTTTCACATGCCAGAATTCAGCTTTCTTCTGCATGGGCCAGCCCCTGAAGATTTTTTTCACACTGACCCTTCTCCTCTTTGATGTTACCCTGACTTCATCTGTCTGCACCCACAGGTACCAGGTGGGAACCTGCAAATGGCAGACGAAGCATATGAAATACTAGCACAGCGGCATGCTCTGCAAAGAGGCTTAAATTCTACTTGATCCTATGACTTGTGCATTTTGTTAAAGGGAGAGAAAAAAAAAAGAAATAACAACAACAACAAAAAACAAAGCAAGCTACAAAGTGAATTTCCTGTAAAAATGGATGATATGTGGTAATGGTAGAAAGTTAGAATCTCTGTTTCTTGSGAAAACTTTCTGAAAAGAAAAGCAGCTTCCTATTTGTGGCTTTCACAACAGTCCTGGGAGTGATGGCCATGTTGGCCCCCTTCTTCCTGGAGCCATTCATATGCTCTACCAGACTGCCAGACAAGTGGTGTGAGGCTCCTAATACCCACCTCTCTGCTCATGCACCCCAACCGGTGGCTCTGGGACTGGTGGAGGAAGTCTTGGGAGGTGAGGCCAGGCTTTCTGTAGTCTGTCCTTGGTATTCCTTATTCCAGGAACAMGGGCAAGTACTACCAGCCTCATGGCTCAAGCTGCTAGTTTCAGCCACTTCTGAATGTGCCCAGTCTCAGCAAATCTTCAATATTTGATATTTGTTATGGTTTGGATTTTAAAGGTCTCTTAAAGTCTGTATGCTAAAAGCTTGGTTGCCAGACTGTGGTGCTTATTGGGAGACAGTGGGACCTTATGGAAGGAAGTTAGATCATTGAGGGGTATACCCTGGAAGGGGATTTTAGGATTCTCTGTTTGCTTTCTGGCCACCATGATGTGAGCAGCATGGCTCTACCATGCATTCCCCGCCATAATGTACTACCTCACCACAGTTCCAAAAGCAATGGGCCATGGACTGAAATCTTTAAAACCATGAGACAAAATAGGTCTTCCTTATAAGTTGATTATCTCAGTCATTTTGTCACAGTGATGGAAAGCTGACTAACATAATATTAAATCAAGAAAATTCCCCAGGATCTGTGTTTTTACAAATTACAGTTGAATTCATATTTGAATGCATGGATTTGTGTTCCAAAGTGTAAACGTACATATGTACAGTCAGAGGCATCAGAACCTGCCTCCGGAAGCTTACCCAGAGATCTTTCTTTCGTCTGGTTGGTTGACCTCACCACAGGAAGGCTTGCACGAGTTCGGCTGCCTCTGGAAAAGGGACTTGGCGCCTCCCCCTCAGACATGGCTTCCAAAGAATCACCGGACGTCTCTGATAAATGCTCGACTGGGTCACTCAAACTGGGAGGCTGAGGACTGTGAGACAGTTTGGGACTTCTTGTCTGCAAAAGATATTTTAAAGACAGTGGGAAAATAGATTAATTCTACTGAAAATATTTTCAATGCTATCTCTGCCAATCTAGAAAAAGAATATGGTCAAGGGGGAAAGGCCATCAGAAGGACTGAATGGGGAACACTTGCCCAGTGGGCAAGCATTAGTTGTGAAGGTTACTGAAAAAAAATTATCCAAGAGTACTCCATTAAGAGCATTTTACTGCTGAACATCTAGCGTACAAATGCCATTTCAAACAGGGAGTTGGGGGCAAGTCATGTCACAGGAAAGAATGATGGCAAATCAATTCCTTTTGCCAGGCAAATTTTCACAGTTGTCACCACAACAGACGGGACTGTGCACATTTCAATACAGGGATGCAGTACTCCCACCAGAGTGACTGAACACAACCAGTCCTTCAGAGTCGTATATCAAGGCTGTTTCCCAAATCAGCAGACTAAAATGGTGAAGGGAGATATTTATATCACAGTTGAATATTTTTATTTTGAAGCAGCAAAATCCCATAAGTAAGATTATGTCTAGCTTTGGTTATTATTTACCTTGCTAATCAAGAAAAAGTATCTATCTATAATGATTTAAGCCAACTCACTCAGCACCCAGTTGAATTTCTCTCCTAGTTCTCTCTACTGCAATGGCAGGGGGTGAATGTGTAACCTGCTCATGATCTATTAGTCAATACTATTCTTGGAACATGAACTACAAGTGGGCACCGTGGGAGATTCAAAAGAAAGAGACAACATGTTGACTGATGTCAAAGTTTCTGAACTAATTGGTGAACTTTGTGAAGAACAACAAATAATCCAAGGTAATGTATAATTAAAGTATAAACTATGATTTGGGTGGTATATCTATTTGCTTTTCAACAAATACCTATTGAGCACTTCCTGTGTTCCAAGCACTATGCTAGGTACTGGGGACAGAACACTGCACAAAAGAAACATGACCTGTGCCTTGACAGTGTTCATAATCCAAAAAGAGGACACAATTTAAGATAAATTAAAGGTGCAAGAGAGTGTGCAACTCCAACGGTGGTGGTAGTGAGGTTATGAGTGGAGAGACAGAAACACAGAAGAACTTTGATCCCAGAAGGAGGGACAAAGAGAGAAAGAAAGACACCCTGGTTGTAGGGAATAGCCTGTGCTAAGTAAGGTCCCACACCARAGAAAGCAGTGATCCCTGGAGATTTGGTGGGCAAGAGAGCAGAGCACACACAAAGTCTTTGAATCATGGTGAGAATTCTCCCTTTGACTGCCAAATAACAGAAGGCCATTGAGGTAGTTAGGGACGGGGATGAGGTAGGAAAGATCAGACAAATTTTTAGAAGATCACTTTGGCTATTGTGTCGAGATTGGAGATTATACATGTACAAGGGCRCGGAGAAGGTGAGCTAGAAAAACTGGGGGGTTATGCTGAGTGAAATGCATTATTTCCCTTTCAATTTCCCCTTCTTCCATGGCCCATCTTTATTACATGATTCCATGCACTAGCTGGGAAGCAAACTCATTTGGAATTAACCAGGCAGGCTGGTGATAGGAAACTAGTCATCCCCAAGAGCCAGGTTTTGTTATGTTGCATTCTTAATTTCCTTTAATCCTTCCTAAGGCTGCCAATGCATTTTGACATTAAGCACCAAGACTCTTAACTTTCAAGGTGGGGCCAGCTTCCTGGAAGTACACTGCAAAGTCAGGCAGGGCCCTGCTCTCCAAAGGATCTGTAGATGGTTTTATGCTGCACTATGGCAATCCTAAACTTCTTAATGTTTTTTTTTTGAACAAGAGACCCTGGAAATCATAGAGCAAGTAAGTCCTTCCTCCAGGCTTTGTCTTCAATTCTTTGACGAGGAATGCCCCAGGAGTGCTGGATACTCTAAGGGACTCTTTGAGGACTGCATAGTCCATTTCTCCCCCTCTTTCTGGAAATATGTACAAGGAAAACCCTCTTGGCAGAAGCACTATCATGTTACCTGGACACACACACACCTTGCTACACCTTTCAGGACCTTCTCATAGAGGGAAGTAGGAATAAGATAATTCTTCTCCTTCTGCATCCCAGAAAGGCTTTGGGAGATACCTGAGTATCTCATAGGAAACTCAGCCAATTACAAGCCAATGAGATTACAAGTCAAAATCATGGCCAGAATGGACATCCATTAACAAGCAAATTGTCCTTGCTGGTTAATTTTTCTGTGCTTATTTCCAAAGTGGTTTGTTCCCAGATTTATTTTTCATAAAGCCTGCTTCTATTATGGGGATCTGGCTTTGGCACCCTTTAAGAGTATTATTTGAGTAGGAAAATCATCCCTAAATGAATAACTTGCTCACCAAGATTTACAAAAATTTATGTGGTCTTCAATGAAGTAGTTTCTCAGTTACTCTGCTCAGCAGAATAGCAAACTAAGATGCCCTCATTCCTACCTTAAAAAAAAAATACACATTTAGTTTAGCAGCATAGCCAAGAAATAACATTACTGTAAGCAATAAGGCAGCATTTACCACCTCTACTGGTCATCTTTGCAGCCTGCAGCAGACACGTTACATTTGATGAGTTGTCATTTTCCATTGTAAAAAGCAATAATCCTTGAAAAAAAAAAAATAAAAATCAAATTCTCTATTTCTTCTTCAGGGTCATCATCGTGGTAGGTAAGTATTTTAAAATAGAGATGTAAGGGCTAATCTTTTTTTTCGAACTGCCTATACATAGCTACTCAGTTCTATATATAAACTCCTCCTCTTCTTTTTTTTTTTTAATATATGTCATTCACTTTCTCATTGAAAACTATCCCTGCATATTAGCAATCTCCTCACACATGGTACCCTCCCCTCTGATGTCAGCTCACTGCTGAGACATCATTTAGTTCAGGGAGAAGATAATGGAAATTGCTGACAGCAGGATCAGATACAATGACTTGATACATTGAAAAAATAAAAAGATACAAAGCGTTTGGAAGAGGGACTCAGCACAGTGCTAGGCACTGGGGGATGACAGCTTCTAAGGCATTTAAGGTATATTTGGGGACCAAAGATAACATATCCATAACAGTAGAGCTAAAAAGCAAGCCACGGTGGTACAGAGAGGGGTTTCCATTTCACCTTGGGCCCACCTATGGAGCTGGCCCTCTATTGACTGAGATCTCTGAAAACATGAGCCAAATAAACTTTTCCTCCTCTAACTGTTCTTTTTCAGGTTGTTTGGTGACAGCAATGAAAAAGTTGACTAAAACAACTGTTAGAGCAGTAGTACCCCCATTATTTTGTATTTCAAGGAGTAGACCTTTCAAAAAAATTATAGGAGGTTACAACATGGAATACTGTTATTTTTGCAAAGTTAGAGGCAATGAAAAAATAACTTTATGGCTGGTGGTGTCACTTAGTGGTAGAACCCTGCTGCGCATGCTTGAAGCCCTGAGTTCTATCCCAACCCCCAAACAAGACAAAACAAACCCTACTGTCTATGGATCATTATTATCCCAAGAAAGGAAAAATATTTTAATGCCCTGAAAAGAAAGGCAAGATACTCATGCAATTTTAGATTTGGTCTCATTTTGCCTCAGCTAAAACTTTTTCTCAGCGCTGCATGGTCTACAGCTCAGTAGTGGAAGCCTGGGCTCTAAAATGCTGAATGAGGAACTGTCCTTACCTGGGGAGGGAGCAGGGGACTAGGGAAATGTTCTCTGGGCCACTTGAGCAGGCTTCAAGTTTCCCTAAGTCTGGATTTCCCTACTTGCCCAGGGAACTTCTAACACCAATCTCCTTCTGTTTCCATCACAAATTTCTAGAGATTTCTATAGATCATGCCCAAACCTACAAACTCAAACGAGAACAGGGGGTCTGTACAAGTCTGAATCCACTTGTCCTTTCTAGTCTTCTCTTCTTCAAAGAGGACTTCCTATCCCTCCCAAAACACTGGTGTCAGAGGCTTCCAGTAGCTCTCCTCTCAGCTTCATCTACAATTTATAGAATATTCTCTTCCTAATGGAGGAGTGAGGAGGAGTGAAAGGAACTAACATATGGAGTGCCTGRGTCACCATGCCAGGTGATTGATATGGTAATCTCATTGTAACCTCACTGGTCAACACAGAGAAAACAGCAATCCTGATCATTGTACTGATATGAAGGAACTGAGATCCAGTGTGTAGGATTCCACAGATGATGCCCAACGGTATGGTTGTTTAACCAGGAGTCTGGGGGTGCTGGCTCTAGTTTAGCTTCCACCAAAAGCTGGTCAATGTCTAAACTCATTGGATCACAACTATCTTATCTAAAAGGCAAGAGCTTGAACTAATTGGTACTTAAGATCCCTTTCAKGACCAAAATTGCATAACTCTAAGATATACATCCTACAAAGAAGAAAAGATCATGTTGTCCAAAAAAAAAATCAGTTGACTGAGATTTCCTACAAATTATTTACCATATTGCACCTGCTCTATAGAAATATATAGCGAGGCAGTGGCAAGATCTAGTTTTCTGCACAGCATTAATTTTTAAAAGACTGCCAGGCTTGCATTTTTATCACYGTGAACAAATATTTGCTGAAACGTTCACTGTGTGCATTATGCTTTACTAGGGGATCAGATTTATTCTTATTTTTGCAATGCTGTTGGATTTGAAGACCACAGCCAAAGAGGAAGGAAAATTAGAGAGTCATCGATGATATTTTTTTCATTCACATTTTTCAGATCCTTTAAATTCGAAAATGAAATGCTGAGGTCCAGAAAATGAATCAAAACTGTAGCTTTATGTAACAAGTTCACTGTCAGGAACAGTAGGGTTTTTGGTTAGCCAACTGTATTCACCTTCCTTCAGAGTACATTCTATTTTGAGAAGAAAAACCAATGTTGCCTTAATGAAGTTTCACTTCATCCTAATTAATGCCCAATTTGCCACAGAGAATTCAGAAATATAATGAGGCTTCCCACATGCAAATGTATTCGGAATGACTCATTCTAGTCCTCATTAACTGACATGGTTAACCATGACACTCTGTGCTTTG